ACTTTTGCACACAAACACACACAATTTTTCCCATTTCTTGCATCGAACCCAAGGGAGAGTGATACTCACCAACTCGCATAAGTCATATACACACAATTCAGGCTCATGTTTGGAGATTAGGAAAAAACATTCAAGCACCCTACTGCTCCTACTGCTGTTTGTAAACTTTGTAAGTCTATCTATGGCCTAAATAGGTCCCTAGAGCCTAGTTTGAAAGATTTACATCCCACATCAAAACCTTCTACTTTCAGGCTTCAACTACTGATTGTTCTTTGTTTGTCAAAGTTTGTTCTTAGTCTATTACTATTCTACTTCTTTATGTAGTTGTAACGCCCCAAAACACACCCTGGACGATATTATATTCTAAAACCATTCATATCATGAGAGCACTAATATAATCCCTTAAGAAACAAGACTTCATTTGTCATCCACGAATATTTATAACATTGTCCAAAAGAATAAGCCCAAGTCATGACTATTACATCTCAAAAATTAATTAAAGAAGCGCAGTGGAATAAAAAAAAGAAGTTAGACTACACAATGTTCCAAAAGAATATCCTAGTCTAGTACAAAAGGAAAGGAGGTCTCTCTATGCGTCCACCTCGGGATCCACACTCCCGTCCAATAGAGTCTCCCAAGTAACGGGCTCCTCGACCCTTACGTCCTCCTCCTCAAACGGATAATTTAAAAAATGTTAGCGATAAGGGGTGAGCACGAAGTTCTGTAAAAAAATTCTCTCAAACTCATACAAGGTTTAGAAAAGCATTTAAAACGGTCGGTCTCAATTTTTAGTATAACATAGATATATAATTTGAAATAAAGCAGTGACATTTAAAAAGGATCTCAAGTTTATTTAAAAACATTACTTAAATGAATAAACAAGCACTACATACAAATAATAACTATTCATTGCCATAACCAATTTTCAATAATTTTTTTCGGTAGGTGGCATACTTTGTGGTAACCTCTACCCCCCTTTAGGTCACCTTTAATTCTCAAGTATCCTTACCGAGAACCTCTTGAGAATGGATGAGCATCCTTACAAAGAACCTCTCCCCAATCACTACATTATTTTCCAAGCATCCTTACCGGAAACCTCTTGAGAAGGGGTGAGCATCCTTACAAGGAACCTCTCATTCATGTGCATCACAAACAACCTAACCAAGCATACAATTTCAATATTTATCTCAATTTACAAGCATCTATCCAAAATTACCAAAATATATCATGTAACAATTCCATAACTAACTAAGAAATACATGAGATCACAATAACATCATTTTTCTACCCAACATAAAGCACTAAGGTTTCGAAATCCATAATAAAGAAAGCATATAGGAAGGAAATACATCACTCTCCAAAAATTAGGGTTTTAAAACTAGAAAGGAGATTTTATAGGTATTAAACCTTACTTTGTTCAAAACATGTAATCCTTGTAAAAAGCCTAAGAGAGGATGATTCCATAGTATATATATATACCATTGATAGCCAAAACATACATATATAAATACCCTAGCCTCAATGTAAGTGAATGAGAGAAAATCTCTATCTTGAATCCTTAGTTTGTAGGAAGAACTTGAGCTTTGATCTTGAATCTACTCTTAAATCTCTTATTTTTTTCCTTCCTTTCTTTCCCTTTAATGCTCTCTAAGGTTCCAAGAGGTGTGGGGTGAGAGTGGAGTGAAAGAAATGAGGGCAAATGGGATGAAAATGGGGTTTAAAACACCTCACCCCGAAATTCGTTGTTCACAGTCTGTTTTGATTTTCTCCAAAATTATGGTTTTATCACTAAGAATCTTCAATTTGATCAATATGACTACCCTAGGGTTTTTCAACGTTCTGGATTCATTTTTAATGTTATTTTAATCTAAAAATATTTATTTTTATGATTTATCTCAAAATCAAAGTCAACGTACACGCGAAACACTAAAATTTCTATTTTACCCATCTGAACCGACTATTAATGAAGTTTTGCGTTGTTTGCAAATAAAAGGTAATAAAGGGTGCTTCTTAAAGCCTTTTATACTTATTTGAAGCCTAAATATACTCATTATTCTTATATTTTGATTTAGGATACAAATGGAGACGTTAAATGCAAAACGAAGCTAATTGGACTGTTTTGACATCGCTTCGTTATCTGGGCATAACTCTCTCATCCGAGCTCCGATTGAGATGATTCAAGATGCTGTGGAATTATAAGAAAGATCTCTAAAACTTTCCTGTTTTGAGTTTTGAGAGATATTTACTGCATCAAGGTCTAAATCGGGCTTGAAGTTGCAGCCAGTGCACTGTTCAAGCTAATTGGGTTGTTTTGATATCACTTCGTTATCTGGGCATAACTCTCTCATCCGAGCTCCAATTGAGATGATATGAAATTCTAAGAAAGAGCTATAAAACTTTTATGTTTTGAGTTTTGAGAGATATTGACTACATAAGGGTCAAAATTGTGCTTGAAGTTGCAGTCAGTGCACTGTTTACGTCATTTTTCATCCTTTTTTCATTTTCAATCCATTCCTAAGCCAACCAAATCCATCTCAAACCTCTCCAACACATATTTCTACACCAAACCTATTTAATACAAGTTCTAGAACCTAAAATTTCATATTTTCACTTATGAAAACCAAATTTCAACTATTATTTTCACTAACATTTTAAATCTCTATTTTTTCAATCTACCAAATTCAAACACACATCACTACATATATCCACAATTTTACCACAATTATTTACTTTATATCTATGTACATATATAAAAGAAAATGCGGGGTGTTACAGTAGTTGACATTATTATTACTGGGAATGACAATTCTTACATTTCCTTTCTAATTTCTTCTCTTAAACAAGAATTTGACATGCAAGATCTTGGACCTTTACAGTTCTTTCTTGGACTTGAAGTCCAATATCTACCCTAGGGGCTCTTCCTTTCTTAGCATAAATATGTTCGTGATCTTTTCCAAAGAGCAAATATGGCTGACTGCAAACCTTGCAAGATTCCTTGTCCAGCATCTAGCAGACTCTGCAAGACTTAGGACACTCCATTACCAGATCCCACTCTTTATAGGAGTTTGGTTGGGGCACTCCAATACCTTACATTCACAAGAACAGATATAGCTTTTGCTGTCAACCAAGTTTGTCAATTCATGGTTGGCCCTACTAATGTGCATTTCTGTACTGTCAAGAGAATCCTAAGGTACTTAAAAGGCACTAGTTCTCTTGGTCTTACATATACTCTCAGCTCTTTGCATCTTTCAGCCTTCATTGATGCTGACTGGGTTGCAGATCCCACTGACAAGAGGTCTACTTCTGGTTTTATTATCTTCCTTGGTTTCAATCCTACTTATTGGGGAGCCAAAAACATATAACTGTAACAAGGTCTTCCACTAAGTCTGAATACAGGTCCCAACTACTGCTGCAGAATTAGCCTGGTTAAGGATGCTTCTCAAAGATCTTCACATCTTTATTTCTCAGCCTCCTACATTTTGGTGTGATATTGTTTCTACTCTAGCTTTGGCTTCCAATCCTGTGTTCCATGCTATAACCAAGCATATAGAAATTGACTATCATTTCATTCGAGAGAAAGTGGTTAAGAAAGATCTGGAAGTTCAATATGTGTCCACCACTGATCAAATGGTTGATTTCTTCACTAAAGGCCTCTCTTCTGTCAGATTTCTTCTTCTACGTGACAAACTCATGCTTGGTGATCCTCCCATTCGTTTGCGAGGAGGTATTAGCATAGTAGCTCTTTCTACAGCTCCTTCTGCTCAGCTTAGCACTGAGGTTCACATATCACATGTGTCACTAATTAAGTTAGTTACAGTAACTATAGTTATAACTAATTGTAATTAGCTTAGATATGTTTCAGCATTTTGTATGAATACTTGATGCAATCACACTTTCTGAAGATAATGAGAAAATTCTTTAGATTGCTCTGTCATCTTCTTCTTCAAAAGAAAGACTAAAATATATAAAAAAAAAATAGCAGGTGGCCCGTGCGATGCACAAAATTTGTAATCCTTCTTGCCCCCACTCATTCATTCATTCTCTCCATTCCAGGCCTTTGTTTTTTCCCATCACATTACATGGGTTGTTAAAAAATTATCAAAGTTTATAAGGGATTGAAATTGATTTTAAAAAAACAATGAATGAGGGGTGGCTAATTAGTGAGATAATGGAATGGTAGTTAAATTGGCCAAGTGGTTGTTGTTGATTGGAGAATACCTAATTTTGTAATTAATGAAAAAAAAGTCTAGAAATTATGAAAAGTAGGATAGAAAACTTCTCAAGCTCTCTCTTTCTCAAAAAATAATTGTTTTATATATATACTAGCGTTGTCACCTGTGCGATGCACAGGATTCCTAAATCCTGCCTTCCTCTTCCGTTTTTTCTTCCTCACCCATCTCTCCTCTCTCACTTTTATTTATTGGAGAAGTTTAAAAAACTATGGAAAGTTACAAGAGATTAAAACTTTTTATTTTTTAAAAAAATCAAATGAATGATAGTTTTTTTTTTATCAGAAAATGAATGGTAGTTAGTTAGCGATAGAATAAAAGAGTAGTTTTTTTTTTTTGAAGGTATAACAGTAGCTGTTTTATTCATGTAGAGAAATCTGAAAAAAAAAAAAAAAAACAGCCTCACACATTCAGGGGCCTGCTCCTTCCACCTCAATAATTGATCGATAACGCTTGTATACATAACAAGGCTATGTGCTACATGATTGTCATTTCTATTAACTATGGCTATCTTATACCTACAAAATTGTCTAAGATCTTTCTTGAGCATATTGAACACCTCTCCAAACGTTGCTGAGTTTGATGTCTATTGCTGAAAATCTTGCAGCAGCTTGACACATTCGCCTTCGAGCACAAAAACCTGCCACCTTCTTGCTCCACAAATTTGATTGTTTCCTTCATGGTTGTAACTTTCAAATCCAGTGTTAGCTTGGTCACACTGATTTCTTAGCGAGTCCTGCCACAAACTCTCCTTTTCTCATTTCGAATCACCATGCCAATGCCAAACGTCTGACTGTCCCTCGAAACAACTCCACAAAAAATTATCTTCAGAAAACCTGCCATAGGAGGGTTCCACCGTGTTAGGTTGGAACTCGATACCCATTTCATTCTCCCCTCCCTAATGTTGGCTGACAGCGATTCATAAATCCCACTGCTTCTTGTACCAATGTTGCTGGATTTTTTGGACATCCCCGAAAGAACCATCTTATTACGATGCTTCCAGATCAACCAACAATGAATCATAAACATGGAGAACTCTTCCGGGCTGTGTCTTGGTGTGTGAAAAACAAACCTTACATATCTTGCTGCTCTTTTTTTTTTTTTTTGGTTATTGGTTAATTGCCTTGTGTTCTTCAATTCTTGTAATTATCAATTTTTTTGTATACTAATAGGTCACGATAATAATTTGACAATGTTAAACAACACCATATAGACTGATATTCTGTTAAAAAATATTTATGTAGGGATGACTTCTAGTGATGGTGCTAGAGCAAATTGTAAGGATCTAGATTTGCTTAAATTTTTTATAGATTTGTGTCTGCAAGAATCATCTGATAAAGAAAGAAATTGAGGTAGCCTGAAAAAATAATCTTGGGATTATATGAGGGTAGCTTTAAAGGAGCAAAAAAATGTTGACTTCTCCTAGAAACAATTGAAGAATCAGTGGGAATATCTAAGAACAAAATATGGAATATGGTCAAAAATAATATCAAAAATTAGAAATGGTTACGATCCAGAAACAAATACTATAAATTGGAGTTCAATAGAATAGGAAGAGTATATAAAGGTATTACTTTATTCATTGTTAATTATTCTTATAGAACTATAACACAAATAATTCTTGAGTTTTTTTATATTTTTATGTCATAGGCTAATCCAGATGCAAAGCAATTTCGTTATAATGGACTACAGTATGCAAATGAGTTAAAAGTTTTGTTTGATGGTTTTAGAGCAACTGAACAAAATTCATAGGGTCCATCGAAGGAAGGGTTGCCAACGGATATGGTCATCTCACAGTCACAAACACTGATTAATCTTGACGTTGAATTTGTCGAGATACCTTCTTCACCAAAGGATATGACAAAACAAGACAATAAACGTCAAAAGAAAAGTAAACATAGTGACCTTGATGAACAACTATTTGAAGCTCTTATGACATTACAAAATGCCGACGGACCAAGTATAGAAAAATGCAATTGTATTTGGATGAGATGCAACTTTTTGAAATGAGTGATCCATTGTATTCTATTGCGTGTAGTGCTTTTTGTGAGAGTAAAGCACATAGAGAGTAGTGAATGTTTTTACGTCAAAAACTAGAAGTAGTTAGAAAGACGTGGATAGAAATGAATGGCAAGAAACTAAAGTTGCTTTGAATTTTAGGAATTACTAGAAGTTATGAGTATTATTTTTATAGGAAGAATTTATGACTATTTTGAATGTGAAAGATTGTTTAAATTTATTTGTTTTATAATTTTTGCTTAAGTATGTTATTGTTGAAATTATCTGTTGTGGTTTTTGAATGTTAATTATATTGGAAGCTAACATACATAGTTAAATTGTCTTAGATTAGACTAATTAAATTTTATTCATATTGTCCAACAACATGTTGTCTAAAAAACAGAGGCGTGCACTGAAGGTTGTTGTAACTTCTTTGATATTCAAAATATTGAGGAAAACTGTGTTGCACGGAGACCAGACACTGATGGTTTGCTTCGTGGGTTTGGATATTTAAATGAAATATTGATGGAAATCCAAATCGTTGTCAAGAGATGTTAAGGATGAAAAAAAGAAACTTTTATAAGTTTATGTGGTCATTTTAGAAATAGAGGGTGACTTGAAGATAATCATTATGTATCCATAGAAGAGAAGATGTCAATGTTTCTCATAACATTGAGTCATAACATACAAAATTGTTTTGTGAAACGAAAATTCAATCATTCAACACAAACAATACATAAATACTTCCATGAAGTATTATATGTTATGCTCCATTTTTCAAAAGAGATGATTGTCCTAACAATTACGAATTCAGTTAATCACATAAGTCATCACCATCGGCTCAGAGGAATATTTAAGGTATTTTTTTGTTTTATTTTAACTTCATAGGATATATAATGATTTACAGCTTTTTGCGGTGAGTGTAGTTGATGGAACTCTTATTTCTGTTGTTATACCATCAGACGAACAAGTTCCATATAGAGGAAGAGACAAAGGAGAATGTTTTCAAAATGTACTTGCTTTATGTGATTTTGACCTTGTGTTCACATTTGTCTGGGCAGGTTGGGAAGGGGTAGCACATGACTCAAGAGTTCTAAAAGAAACTATTAGTGATTTAGCTAATAATTTTTTAATTCTTCCTCTAGGTTAGATGAAAATATTTAAATAATGTTACAAAATATTTATGTACATAATTTATTTTATATTATTTGTATAGATAAATACTTTTTATGCGATGCGGCATATACACATACACGTGGATTTATGTCACCCTATCGTAATATGCGATATTGGTTGTCTGATTTTCAAAATCTTTATCCAAGAACAAAAGAAGAGATATTCAACCAAGCATATGCTAAGTTAAGAAATGTAACTGAACGTGCTTTTATAGTATTGAAAACTCGTTTTCCGATACTAAAAAAGATGTCATCATATTCTAAAAACCTTACTGAGGTTTGGAATAACTTGATTTTACTAGAAGAGATGACAAGACCATTGTGTTTGACAATCTCTAGGAATGCATAAAGGTGCTTCCAGTGTTCTTCTATAGATCTAGAGAAGATGAGGACATCATCTATATAGACTATAAAAAAATGACTAATGCAATTAAAAATTTCATTCATTTTATTTTGGAATACATTAGGTGCATTTTTCAGTCCGAAGGGCATTACATTTCATTCATAATGACCAAAAGGAGTTGTAAATGCAGTTTTAAATCTATCTTCTAGGAATATCATGACCTGCCAGAAGCCACTTTTCATATCAAATTTAGAAAATATTGTTACATTACTAAATCCTTTGATTAAATCCTGTTTATTTGGAATTGGGTACCTGATCCATTCCAATACAGAATTTAAAGCCTTGTAATTAATTACTAATCTTGGTGTGCCTCTTTCTAATTCTGTATTTTTGATGACATAGAAAGATGGGCAAGACCAAGGAGATTTACTTTTCCGAATGATACCACTTTTAAGTAATTCAGAAATCTCTTTTTTGCAGATTTTCATTACTTCATGGTTCATTTGGATGGGTCTGAATTTAGTTGGAATATGTTGTTCCTTAAATCCTTTAATATAAGGAAGCTTTACCATATGTTTCTTCTTATGCCAGAAAGCTGTAGGAAGGTTAGAACATACTTCTGATACAATATGAGAGAAGGGAAGGATAGTGTTTGCTGGCTTGTAATGTGTTTTGCCGGAGTAAAAGCTTGCTTTGCTAATGAAGACTGACGTCCTTATATAGGAGGAGAAAGCCTTCGGAGGGAATCTTGGCATGATTACCCTTTGATGCTTTTACTAAGGTAAAATATTTTTCACTTTAACTTTCAGTGAAAAAGTAAGAGTGAAATGCCTTTTACTTAAGTAAATTTTGACTAATGCAAGTGTGGACCCCTGCTGTTGGCTGAAGAATCTGTTTTCGGTGGAAAGACAGATTGGATGCTAATGGGCGACTGCTTTATTGGAGAAAGAACCTGACTTTACTATATGATATAATATCATTACAAGTGACAATCAGTTGTTCTCTCTTTCGAGAGTAATGATTGAAGCTATCACATGTAATGATAAAAATCATGGGGTAGTGATGTCAGTTAAGTCAGCATATCCTGCAAAAAGATCCTGGCTATCTTGAAATGGATCCAAGGATGGGGTGACTGAAGCTTGAGAGGATACAGACGAACTACTTTCACTAGCTGCTTGTTGAAGAAGCTTCTATGCCAATTCAATGAGTGCAGTAGACTTCTTCTTGGATTGTTTACTGGAATCCTTGGAGGAGGATTTTTTCCGCTTTACTATGGATGGTTGTGCCAATGATTCTGCTGGGGCAGAGATCTTAAGCGGTGACATAAACTGTTTAATTGGATTTACTGGAGTATGACTGGATGTTCCTTAAACCATGACTGGAGTAGGAACCTTTACTGGGAACTCCTGATGTACCTGTTTAATAATGCGTTAACGCTGGAACTTGGGCCACCATTTGACGCGAAACTGACGAATAACATATCCTGCTGCAATATCCCATTTCTGATTGCATATCCATGGGACTTTATATTTTTTCATAAAAATTAAAAGACTCGAAAAAGTAGACTCTTGTTTACTAGGTTTATAAGCATATAAGAAATAAGTCACCTGATCTTGGAGATCAAGTGGAAGGATTTCAAGCATGGGGCCGTGAACTTGCCACCACTGTAAAAACCAACAAGGAAGCTGGCTTTTGAAATCCTTACAAAACTAGATGAACCAGGAGTGAGTCAATGACTCATCCTAATAGAGGATAAGTTTATACCATGATTCTTTGTAATCATAGTAACTAAACTTCTTGTTATGGTATGGTAGATCTTTGAGTAAAGAAGGGTGAGATCCCCATTCTTTTAAAGACATAATATTTAATATATATAAACCATAACAAATAATTTTACTAGGATCTTTACTGTCTTGGATTTCTTTAATGAAAATGGACTTAGTAAAGAAAAGGATATCCTGATAAAACTAGAAAGTCTTTTCATGGTCATGTGAGACAAAGGTTCATCTAGGCTCAAGATAGGCATTGACTAGGTCAATGGGATTACTGAGGTAAGCATGAGTTGGTTCAATAGGGAATATGTAGTGGGCCGAAGGCTTATCAACATAATCCGTCTTTTTGTAATTAGGCTGGAACTTATATCCCTGGTATGGGTTAACCAGTTGGCTAGGTCTGGCTGAGGATATGAGTTGGACCATATGTGGGCTAGATGAATTGGTTGGGCCTTGTTGGGCCATTTGGAGAAAGGTACTGAGGTTTACTAAAGTAGACTGGACTACTGGTTTTACTGGGTTACCAAGAGGTTGGTAATGGTTGGCTATAGCAATTTTGTTGACTGGCTAGGCAACTGACTTGGTTTAGGATTTGGGCTAGGTAAGACTAATTATTTTTTAGTATCCCTCCCGGCTTTGGAAGAGGTACTAGGTTTACTGTTTTTCCTGTCTGCCATGAGGTTCCTGCATAAATTCACAGGTTAAGAA